CGTGGAGTATAATCCCCATAAAATCGGGAATTTTAAGTGTAGGATGTGGGTTTAAATTGTGATTCAATTTCCGTGCTCCACACTACTCACATTGCCAACTTTCCTCAACGTCAAACCCGAACAATCAAAATCAATTGCAAGTCTTCTGTGAGGTATGATAACTTCTTTTGATTAACCTACTTTAAAATTTTCATTAATTAATACATGTTTTCCCTTCTACAGATTAATGGCTATTAACAATATTACATTCATTGAAGATCTTGACAAACAGAAGGATGATTTCACTGTGAAGGTCCGAATTGCTAGACTGTGGAAGCAATCGGTGTTTAAAAATCCGTACGAAATATATTCCATTGAAATGATATTTATGGATGAACAGGTAAATTCCTATGTCTTCTTCAAGCTTTAGTATTATCAGCATGATAAGGAATCATTTTATAAAGTGTCTAAGATTTTCACATTATCACTACTCATTGATTTTTCATTTTTATGTTATTAGAGCACACTAAAATACAAGCAATTGTACTACAAAAATGGGTTCCTAAGTTCAGTAACTTACTTCAGGAAGGGACTGCAGTTTTCATTAAGAATCCTACAATTGCTCGACATGCAACGAAATACAAGTTAATCAACAATACAAACAAGTTAAATTTGTATTACAAGACTTCTGTGTCAGATTGCCGGGAATCTAAGGGTTGCATTTTTGGTTTTTCTTTGTGAAATTCGCAAATCTTATATACAAAGTATCGCAGAACATACAGCTGTTAGTGAGTCAATTAGATCCTTCTACATTGATTGTATTGTTTAAATAAATTATATATTGTACTCTCATTCAAGTTACATGTTGTTATGTTAACTTTTTGATGATTACAAAGATGTAATTGATGAAGTTATTTCTTGTGAGACAGCGGTGACTCTTCCAGATAAAATCTGGAATCAGAAGAGAAGTTGTGTGACAGAAGGTTTGGGAGAGAAGTTGATAGGAAGCGGCTTTTTGAAAGTTGGTCTAATGCCGATGAGGAAATAAAAGGAACGGTTCTAAAAACATTCAAGAGTTCTAAAGTTGAAAAGTAGTATTCTTGCTTCTGATGAACAATTACATTGAATCTCGTATTTAATTTGGCATTGTGTTGGTGGTTAAGATTTAGTTTGGACAATGAGTTTTGCATTTGTGCTTATTTTATGATACACGTTTTCGTTATTATTTGTGTTGGATTTGATATTAAACTCACTTGCATTATATAGTTTTGTAATACTTGATTTTCATGTTCATGAAAATTATATTTACTTGTAAGTATTTAACTACTTTTGGACGAAGAGGTTCTGGGAAGATGAATAACAAGTTGTACATGACCAGATGGCCTTTAATCCGAATCTTTGTTGGCCTTCATTGATGTATTACACGGCCTCTGTATACTGCATGTAGATATTGACACTCGATATACAGAGCTCTGACTTATGTAGGATTGTTGTTCACACTACTTCGAAGATTAGAAGCCTTCTATGCAGAGTCGCAAATCTGCTCCAAACTCAGATATACAGAGGTTCCGTGTTGAACATATAGAGCCTGTATACAGGTCTGCAATGAGTATGGAAGCAAGTTCAGCTGCGCTATGTGGTATATGCAGATGGTCTGTGTAGTTCTGTATGAAGCACGTAATCAGGATCAGAGGTTCTGCGTACTACGAGGAGAAACAGAGCTCTTACTTAAGAGTTAAGTGTATTATGTACAAAGGCGTCTTCTACGTCAATCATCATAGAGATCATCTTACATGAAGAAGAGATACCACCCCTTGAGCAAGAGAAAGAGCCACAAGTATTCTAATATCAATCCGTAATCTGTTGGAATTTCGAGAACTTCTTAGATTGTTCATGAAGCTTGAAAGCATCTAGACCTTCTTGTCTTACATTTATTTTTTAACTTTGAAGCATTGTACTTTCATTTCAATCGTACTGTACTTTCTGAATAGTTAATGTAAAACAGAGGTTATTTTTAACCTCTGCCTTCAATTAGAATTATGTGTTTTATTCCCATAACAACCTGCCTTCTTTTTAACCTCTGTTGCAATATCGAGAACTTCTTATGTTTTCCTTCTTTTTCCTAATTTAAGAAAAAGTATCGGTTAAAAAAGCGTTACAAATCCCTCAACTTCAGAAGTAATATTCGTGGTTCTGGTGTACAACTATGTTGTTGTTCGTTATTCGTATAGTTTTTGTCATTGTGTTTTTGTTCGTACAATGATCTGTTAATTGTTCAATATATTATGCTATAGGGTTTCATTGTTATTTGTTTTGGATTTAATATTAAACTTATTTGCATGACCAACACAGAGGCCCTGCAGTTAAGTTTTGAGAAAGAGCTCTGTCTCTTCATGTGCTACATTGACCCTTCCCTTCTTCATATACAGAGTACATATTTTGCTTTAAATTTGAATACAGAAGTCGAAGGGTTTGTTTATAGAGTGACATGTGGAAGTGTAGAGTAATTATTGGACGCATTAAGCGTGTCAATTTAAAACTGTCGTGTTTTAAGAAAATGTTTACCTACCATTACGATGTAAGTCAATAGTTGGTCGTATCATATTCGAAGACATGGTTGACTACCGTCTTAGATGCATTTCAAAGGAAGGAATGTTTTGTAAGTCTTGAACGTCAGGAGTTACTGACTAACCCTGAATTTAAGTTCAGAATCTTATGGCTGAATGTAACTGAACGTTTAACTCTGCCCATTCATATTCAGACTTAGTATATCTGAACCACAAATTTCCGCTATGATTACAAATTTTCCCTCAAACGATACTTCCATATCTATATAGACCTTTTACACTATCTTTTTTTATGTGAAAGTCAATATTTGTAAATTAACCATTACGAAAGCCATGAAGTTCTTAAACTCCATATCAAAATGTTCAATTTTGGAATGTACAGAGTGAATTTTTTGCTCCTGCACTTATACCCACCATCTAAAAGTTTTTCTTCGAACCAGACTTCAATGTCTGTATAAATCTCATCAAGTACCCTTCGTCATGTGAATGTCAATATTTCAAAATTAGTCCTTAAGAAAATCACAAAAATTGTTAAAGTCCATATTAAAATGTTCGTGACCTATCACATACATAGGTACTTGCGCATGTCTGAATTTATAACTGACGCCATAAATTTGGTACACCACGTTCATACTTAAACGTGGATAGATTACACAACTGAAGTCATAAATCTGGTACAGCATGTTCATATTGGAACGTGGACAGATTACACAACTTCAAAATTTTCATAAACTCATAGACTCAAAAGTTTCAGTTATCGTCAGTTATAATCACCCTAAAATCTGAAAATTTTAATCGTGGGATGTGTGTTTAAATTGAGATTCAATTTTCGAACTCCTCACTACTCAAATAGGCAACTTTTCTCAAAGTCAAACAAGAACAATCAAAACCAATTGTTTTTCTTCTGTAAGGTATGATAGCTTCTTTTGATTAACTTACTTCAAAATTTTAATTAACTAATACATGGTTTCCCTTCTACAGGTTAATGGCTGGAAACAATATACAGAAGGATAATTCCACTGTCAAGGTTCGAATTGTTAGATTGTGGAAGAAATCGATCTTTAAAAACCCGGATGAAATATACTCCATTGAAATGATATTAATGGATGAACAGGTAAATTCTTATATCTTTTTGAAGCTTTAGTATTGAAAGCATGATATTGAATTATTTTATAAACAGTCTAAGATCTTCACATCATCAGTACTCACTATTTTTTTCATTTTTATGTTCTTAGGGCACCAAAATACAAGCAAATGTCTTGCAAAAATGGATTCCTAAGTTCACGAACTTACTTCAGGAAGGCGCTGCAGTTTTTATTAAGAATCCTACAATTGCTCGATATGCAACGAAGTACAAGCTAATTGATAATACAAACAAGTTAAATTTGTATTACAAGACTTCTGTTTCGAATTGACGGGAATTTAAAGGTTCCATTTTTGGTCTCTCGTTTGTCAAATTTGCAAACATTGAATCGAAAAGTATCCCAGAACATACAGCAGTTGGTGAGTGAATTAAATCCTTTTACATTGACTGTATTGTTTAAATAAATTATATATTGTACTGTTATTGAAGTTAAATGTTGTTACATTAACTTTTTCATCATTACATAGATGTAATTGGGGTAGTTATTGCTTGTGAGACAATGGTGACTCTTCCAGATAACAATCCAGAATCAGAAGAGAAGTTGTGTGATAGTAAGCTTGGGAGAGGGGTTGATAGGAAGCGGCTTTTCGGAAGTTGGTTTGATGACGATCAGGAAGAAAAAGGAAAGCTAAAGAAACATTAAAGATCTTAAAGTTGAAAACTAATATTTTTGATTTTGATGAACAATTACATTGAAACTCGTATTTGATTTTGGGTTGGTGGTTGAATTTTAGTTTGGACAATGATTTTTGCATTGGTACTTATGTTATGATACACTGTTTCGTTATTATTTGTGTTGGATTTCATATTAAACTCATTTGCATTAAATAATTTTGTAATGTTTGATTTTCATGTTCATGAAAGTTATTTTTGCTTGTAAGTATTTAACTATTTTCGGATGAAGAGGTTTTGGGCAGTTGAATAACAGGTTGTACATGATAAGATGGACTATACTTTGATATCCTTATAGGCCTTCATTGATTTATTACACGGCCTCTATATACTCCATGCAGATATTTGGATCCACTATACAGAGCTCTGAATTATGTAGGGTTGTTCTTCACACTACTTCGAATATTAGAGGCCTTCTATGCAGAGTCGCAAAGTTGTAGGAAACTTACCTACACAGAGGTTCCGCGTTGAACATGCAGAGCCTCTATACAGGTCTTCACTGAGTATGGAAGCAACTTCAGGTGGATGCTTGGTATATGCAGATGGTCTGCGTAGTTTTGTATGAAGCACGGAATCAGGATCAAAGGTTCTGCATCGCACGAGGAGATACAAAGCTCCTACTTAAGAGCTAAGTGTATTATGTATAAAGGCGTCTTCTATGTCAATTATCGTAGAGATCATCTTACATGAAGCAGAGATACCACCCCTTGAGCAAGAGAAGGAGGCAAAAGTATTCTAAGTTCAATTCGTAATCTGTTGGAGTTTCGAGAACTTCTTAGGATGTTCATCAAGCATGAAAATATCTAGACCTTCTTATGTTACATTTATTTTTTAACTTTGAAGCATTGTACTATCGCTTCAATCGTACTGTACTTTCTGAATAGTTAATGCAAAACAGATGTTATTTTTAACATCTGCCTTCAATTAGACTTATGTTTTTAATTGCGGTAAGAACCTGCCTTCTTTTTAACCTCTGTTGCAGTATCGAGAACTTCTTATGTTTTCCTTCTTTTTCCTAATTTAACAAAAAGGATAGGTTACAAAAACGTTAAAAATTTCTCAACTTCAGAAGTAATATTCATGAATCTAGTGTACAACTACATTGTTGTTCATTATTCGTATAGTTTTTGTCATTGGATCTTGGTTCGTACAATGATCTGTTAATTCGTTAATGTAGTATGTTGTCCTCTTCCATTATTATTTGTTTTGGATTTAATATTAAACTTATTTGCATGACCAACACAGAGGCTCTGCACTTAAGTGTTAAGAAAGAGCTATGTCTCTTCATGTGCTACGTTGAGCCTACCCTTCTTCATATAGGGAGTACATATTTTGTTTTAAATTTGAATACTGAAATCGAAAAATTTGTTTATAGAATGACACGTCGAAGTGTGGAGTAATTATTGGACGCATTAAGCGTGTCAATTTAAAACTGTCGTATTTTAAGAAAATGTTTAATTACTATTACGATGTAAGTTAATGGTTGGTCCTACTATATTCGAACACATGGTTGGCTACCATCTTAGATGCATTTTAGAGGAAGTAATGTGTTGTAAGTCTTGAACGCCAAGAGTTGTTGACTAACTCTAAATTTCATTTTAGAATATTAAGCCTAAATGTGCCCAAACGTTGAACTCTGACCCTTGCATATTCAAACTTACTACATCTAAGCTACAAAGACCCAGTAGGATAACAAATTTTCCCCCAACCGATACTTCCATATCTATATACACCTTATACACTATCTTTTGTTATGTGATAGTCAATATTTATAAATTAACCCTTACAAAAGACATGAAGTTGTTAAACTCCATATCAAAATGATCAACTCTTGAATGTGCAGCGTGAATTTCTTGTCCCGCACTTATACCCACCATCTTAAATATGGAATCCACTTCATATTTAGAAATCTATATTGACAACAGACGGCATGAGAAGACTTCCTCAGCCTACAGATTTGCACGTACAAAGAATTGGTCCAAATTTTTAATCCTTATTAAAAAGTCTGTGTTTAGCTAAAAGTTTTTCTTCAGACCACACTTCAATGTCTGTATAAATCTTATCAAGTACCCTTCGTCATGTAAATGTCAATATTTGAAAATTAGTCGTTAAGAAAGTGAGTAAAATTGTTAAAGTTCATATTAAAATGTTCGTGACCTATTACACACATAGTTACTTGCGCACGTCTGAATTTATAAATGACGCCATAAGTCTGGTACACCACGTTCATACTTGAACGTGGATAGATTACACAACTGAAGCCGTAAATCTGGTACAGCACGTTCATACTGGAACGTGGATAGACTACACAACTTCAGAATTTTCATAAACTCATAAATTCAAAATTTCAGTTATGATCACCATAAAATCTGGAAATTTCAATTGTGGGATGTGTGCTTAAATTAAGATTCAATTTCCGAACTTCTCACTACTCAAATTGCCAACTTTTCCCAAAGACAAACAAGAACAATCAAAAGGAATTTCATTTCTTCTATAAGGTATAATAGCTTCTTTTGATTAACTTACTTCAATATTTTAATTAATTAATACTTGGTTTCTCTTCTATAGATTAATGGTTGGAAACAATATTGCATTCATTGACGATCTTGACATACAAAAGGATGATTTCACTGTCAAGGTTCGAATTGTTAGATTGTGGAAGCAACCGGTGTTTAAAAACCCGGATGAAATATACTCCATTGAAATGATATTAATGGATGAACAGGTAAATTCTTATATCTTTTGGAAGCTTTAGTATTGAAAGCATGATATTGAATTATTTTCTAAACTGTCTAAGATCTTCACATCATCACTACTCATTGATTTTTCATTTTTATGTTCTTAGGCACCAAAATACAAACAAATGTCCTGTGAAAATGGGTTCCTAAGTTCAGAAACTTACTTCAAGAAGGGGCTGCAGCTTTTATTAAGAATCCTACAATTGCTCGATATGCAATGAAGTACAAGTTAATCGACAATACAAACAAGTTAAATTTGTATTACAAGACTTCTGTTTCGAATTGCCGGGATTTTAAGGGTTCCATTTTTGGTTTTTCATTTGTCAAATTTGAAAAAATTAAATCCAAAAGTATCCCAGAACATACAGTAGTTAGTGAATAAATTAAATCATTTTACATTGATTGTATTGTTTAAATAAATTATATACTTTACACTTATTGAAGTTAGATGTTGTCATGTTAACTTTTTTATCATTACATAGATGTAATTGGGGAGGTTATTGCTTGTGAGACAATGGTGACTCTTCTAGATAGCAATGGAAAAGCCAAAAGAAGAATGCAACTTAAGATGCAGGATTTGGGGTAAGTATTTCACTTTAATTTACTACAATGATCTTCAGAAATTATATAATTCTTTTCTTACAATTTATGTAGGGGAGTTAAAATACAAGTTACATTGTGGGATGCCTTCGCTGAGGAATTGAATAATTGTGTTTCTACAAACAAGGACAAGGGGATTGTTGTTCTTGTTATTCAATTCGCAATGGTCAAAACTTACAGAGGTTAGTCTTATTCATTACATGTATAGTTCTTTCAAGGAATGTTGTGTTAACTTGTTTCATTTGATTGTTTCAGAAAAACCATTTCTTTCTAACTCATTCAATGGTACGAGGTTGTTCATCAATTCGGACATTGATGAAATTAAGGATTTTAAGAAAAGGTCAGCAATTTTTATTTATTATTTATTTCTGTTATATTTCTGTTATATATCTTATATTTCGCTCATATCAATTGTTGTGTACTAATACTCTGATTCAATAGTTTGAATCAGAAAAGTGGCGAATCAAAATTGTCACAACAGATTTCAATGCTCTCTGGAATGTCTTATTCATATCATGAAGATTTTCTAGACAGAACCAATAGAGCAAACATTGTTGAAATCAGTGAGATTGTTGAGGTACTGATTCTTTTAGATTGTGTCTTTACATTGAGTAAATGGATTTTAGTGTAACATAGTGTACTTTATACAGGCGAAATCACTAATTGTATTAGGAACRGTGAAAGCATTTAGAAAAGATGTCCCTTGGTTTTACATGGGTTGCACGAGGTGTAACCGCAAGGTTCGACCCACTTACATTATTAGTGACAAGGATGATGACTCTGGTATGAAAGGAGAGAGGGACAGTTTTGATTGTATGATTGATAGATGCAGAGGTAACCAGACAGAAGTGTTGCTAAAGTAAGTAACAATTACATAACTGTGCTTCTCATTAACTACTGCACACTCACATTAATACTCACTTAATAATCATATAGGTTCAGAATTTCTTTGAGAGTTCAAGATGATACTGGAATTGTATCATTGACATTATTTGATCGAGAAGCTAATAAGGTTTTGAACCAAACGGCAACAGAGTTGTATGAGAAAGTTAAAAAGGTATGGTTAGAGSTCTTATCCTTTTTGAACTGTTACTTTTTAGGACTCCAAATACCTATTAATGTAAAAATTGTTTGTTTTCTTTGTTAGAGTGGTGATGTAGACATGTTTTTAGATGAGTTGGATGTTTTGCTTGATCGGAGGTTTGCAATAAAAATTGATATAACTGATTACAATATTAAGAACAGATGTTTCATTTATGGCATTTCAAAGCTAACAGATGATGATGCCATTTTGAATGATTTGGAGATGAGATGCGCTTCTCAACAGGTGTTGATTTTAGTTTGCAAAAAATATTATCCAATTTAGTCTAAAATCTTTGTTACTCTATTATTTTAGCATTTACTCTGCAGCCTGCTGAATCTGAATCAGTAAATCTGCATTCAACATATTTCAGTTCCCAAGATAAGTTAAAGGTACTATAATTACCATGTTGTAATTTGTAAAGACAACTACAAGCAACTAATTTTTCAAATGCCACAACTAATTATTGTTTTATTTCAAGGATGTTGTTTCATATACTGGTGAGAATGCAACACCATCCGATGCTGATAAAAGCACTACAGACAATCCGGATTCAGAAGAAAAGTTGTGTGAGAAAAGTCTTAGCAAAAGAGTTGAAAGGAAGCGGCTTTTTGAAAGTTTGTATGATGCCGATCAGGAAGGAAAAGGATCGGCTATATAAACATTAAAGATCCCTAAGGTTGAGAAGTAATATTCTTCTTTTTGATGAACAATTACATTGATACTCCCATTTGGTATTGTGTTGGTGGATGAATTTTTTCTTGGACAATTATTTCTGCATTGGTGCAGATGTTATGATACATGTTTTCATTATTATTTGTGTTAGATTTGATATTAAACTCATTTGCAGTACATACTTCTGTAATGTTTGATTTTCATGTTCATGAAAATTATATCTGCTTGTAAGTATTTAACTACTTTTGGACAAGGAGGTTCTTGGCAGTTGAAAAGCAGCTCTGTAATGAGTATGGAAGCAACTTCAGGTGCGTTGCATGGTACATGCAGATCGTCTGTGCAGTTCTATATGAAGAAGGGAATTAGGATCAGAGGTTCTGCATAGCACGAGGACAGACAGAGCTCTTACTTAAGAGGTAAGTGTATCATGTACAAAGGCCATTTTCTATGTGAATTATAGTAGAGACCATCTTACATGAAGCAGAGATACCACCCCTGGAGCAAGAGAAGAAGGCAGAATTGTTCTAAGGTCAATCCGTAATCTATTGGAGTTTGAGAACTTCTTAGGAGGTTCATGAGGCTTGAAAACATCTAGATCTTCTTGTCTTAGCATTTATTTAGCTTTCAAGAATTGTACTTTCATTTCAATCGTATTGTACTTTCTGAATAGTTAATGTAAAACATAGATCATTTTTAACCTCTGCCTTCAATTAGACTTATGTTTTTAATTCAAGTATGAGTTTTCTTTCTTTTTAACTTCTGTTGGAGTATCGAGAACTTCTTATGTTTTTCTTCCTTTTTCCTAATTTAACAAAAAGGAGCGGCTACAAGAACGTTAACAATTCCTCCACTTCAGAAGCAATATTCATGGTTATGGTGTATAAGTACATTGTCTCTCGTATTCGTTATTGTTTTGGTGATTGGATTTTACTTTGTACAATGATCTGTTAATTGGTGAATGTAACTTCCTATAAGCTTTCATTATTTTTTGTTTTGGATTTAATGTTAAACTTATTTGCATGAGTAACACTAATGTGCTACATTTAAGCTTGCCCTTTTTCATACAGACAACAACAGAGGTTCTGCACGTGCTACGTTGTCAATCTAACATTGGCTTCGTACTGCATGCAGAGCTTACAGAGGCTTTGCACTTAAGTGTTCAGAAACAGGTATGTCTCTTCATGCATTGCATTGAGCCTCGACTTCTTACTCTAACGTGGACTTCAAACTTTTAACTGTGGACCATCTGAGTCTTAATTCATAAAATTTATTCACCGTTGTGTCTGTCAAACCTGACTTCGTTCTTTATACAGACTTTAACAGAGGTTCTGCTTGTGCTAGGAACCCTGCTTCCCTGATTCAGACAGAGCTACACAGAGGCTCTGCACGTAAGTGTTGAGAAAGAGCTCACTCTCTTCATGCACTACGTTGAGGCCCCGCCGCTTACTCTGAATGAGGACTTCCGAATTGCAACTCTGCATGGTTCGAGTCTAAACTCTGAAAATTTCTTGCCCCTTGTGTCTGTCAAGCCTTACTCCGTTCTTCATACAGACCTTCATAGAGGTTCTGCAACTGGTACGCGGTCAGTCTGAGCAAGGCTCTGTGGTTCATACAGAGCTACATAGAGGCTCTATACTTAAGTGTTGACAAAGAGCTTTGTCTATTCATGTTGTACGTTGAGGCTTCCCTTCTTCATATAGACCTTCACAGAGGTCTTGCACGTGATACGCGGTCACTCTAACCCTACCTCCGTGCTTCATACAGAGCTACACAGAGGCTCTGCACTTAAGTGTTGAGAAAGAGTTCTGTGTCTTCATGTCCTACCTTCAGGTGTCAGGTCGTACTCTGGAAGTGTATGTCAGACTTGCAACTCTACACCGTACCCGGTTTACACTCTGGGAAGTTTGTTCACCTTTGAGGTTGTCAACCCTAACTACGTTCTTCATATAGATTTTGAGAGAGGGCCTGCACGTGCTACGCCGTCAATATCTCACTGTACTTCATACTGAACCATACAGACACTATGCAGTTAAGTGCTGAGAAAGAGGTCTTTCGCTTCAAGTGCTACTTTGATGTTTCCCTTCTTCATGAAGACCTTTACAGAAGTTATGCACATACTATGTCGTCACTCTAACACTGCCTTCGTGCTTCATACAGAGCTACACAGAGGCTCTACATTTAAATGTTGAGAAAGAGCTCCGTCTGTTCATGTTCTACGTTGAAATTCCCCTTCTTGATATAGACCACGACAGAGGTTCTGCAGGTGCTACGTCAGTGTAACACTACCTCCGTGCTTCATACAGAGCTACACAAAGGCTCTGCACTTAAGATTTGAAAAAGAGCTCCGTCTCTTCATGTCCTACCTTGAGTCTATGCTTCTGAATCTGAAGTGTACTTCAACATTGTAAGTCTGTACCGTTTTGGGCTTAAAGTGTGTAAAGTTTTTAACCCTTTTGTCTGTCAAGTGTGACTCCATTCTTCAAACAGACCTTCAAATAGGTTATGCACATGCTATGCCGTCACGTATTTCGGTGATCACAAAAACTTCTAAACACATACTTATTTCACAATTAAATGTAAGAGTTGGAAGGTAACTCTGACTTGTTTTCTTACAAACTTATACAATAACTTTCAAATGTGGTTTGATAGACGTACAATGTGCATTAATGTTTAAACCTTGCAGTATAGCTCCAAAATAGTACTAAACATACTTCAGATTTTCGATTTAAATTGTAAATAGTAATTCTTGAGTGTCAATGTGCAGAGTTCCCTGAAACCAGTTCTCAAATGTTACTTTCAGGTGATAATGTTATAACTTAATAGTTAAAAGTCTGAATGCCATACTTGAACATTAGACTACATCCTTTGCATAACATGGTAAAGACATAAGTTGTTTTAAGTGATAATGTTATAACTTAATTTAAATATATAACTTATATTACATTTAGGTTTTCCTCCTAATTGAAGTATGTTATTTGAACATTTATATAACACAATCACTAATTGCAAGTGGAAACAAGATTCACCAAAACACTGTTTCTACGCAAAAGCTTATGAAGAATTGAATGCTGCGAGGTTTTGAACATGTATATAACTCTTTTACATTTTTATACATAAAGACAAAGTCATATGTAAAATCTCTTCCAAAATAAAATGAATATATTTAAAGTCATATTAACAAATTATATAGCCATTTCCTTCACTTTCTAAAGTCCTCTGAAATCAAAGCTACTGAAAAGTATACTAAAAAGGAAATTTGTACACAGTGAAAATATGAATGACATATACACATTAAACATTGTATCTACACATACTAACTCTTCCAGTAATACCTTGGTAGCTATCTGGTTTTTACAAGAGGATTTGAAAGGAATGAAGCATGGTCCGATGCAATCACCTTTCTTTTCATAATCATAAAAAGCAAAGTGATTGTATCAAACCAAGCAATATCTCTCACAAACCACTACTTATTTTCTTCTTTGAAGAGATCATTCATTCATCTTCTTCTTCCTTTAAGCCCTAATATTGTTTCATCTAATTTTAATCTGCAAATAGGCACAAAATAAAGGAGACTCGGGTGTAGTGTAGAAATTTATTGGAAACCGTAAAGGACATATATTATTAAATATATACAGATATTTTTAAAAGTGATGGTTGAAATGACCTCCCAAAGTTTTAAATAAATTTATACTCTTTTCAAATCCGGTAATTGTTGAAATAAAATATTCCATCTACTATCCTTTCCACCATTTTCGACTCTTAAACTTCTCTTTTCCTTTTTCATTGCAAACCAGATATTCATGGAGGGTTGCTTCATGTTAACTTTGATTAAACAAACGGAGCACAAAAGGCGTATAACAAAAAAGGTTCCAACAATGTCAGAGAAGTTTTCTGACCAAGAAGAGTTACCATTCCCAAAACTTATAAGAATATCAATGATCGATCCCTATGCAACTGATTCTTCAGAAGATGAAGATGACCACATTTTTGAACGGTGGCGTGTAAAGAAGTTTGTTAATGAAATTAACATACAACCGTCAAGCAAAGCTAGAACGATGCCTCTCAATGGCAATATGACGACAACCAGAAACAACCCATGTGCTGGAGATTCGAAACAGAAAGCTATGAAGAATAAGAAAAGTTCAGAGGATAATGTTAGGAAGTTTCGAGGAGTATGGAAAAGACGTTGGGGTAGATGGGCAGCGGAGATTATGGATCCGGCTACACGCCAGCGGTTGTGGTTGGGAACATATGATACGCTGGAGGAAGCTGCCATGGTATCTGATAATGTTGTCATCAAACTCCATGGTGTTGGTGCTATTACTAATTTTGTTTTGCCAACGGTTTTAGAAAACCCACCGCCGACGAATGTTACATCAATGTCCGACCATCATCCCAACCGAAAGTCACTCAAGCTTCCACTTGTGGATGCACCACCTTTGGATTATCAATCTTTTGATTCAATACAACTTGATGATGAAGTTGCATCCTTTAACATGCATCATGATTTCGGGTCTATAAACCCAAAACAATTTGGTGATTTTGGTATAACCCCTATAGCTCCTGACTTCATTTCTGAGACTGGATGTGGATCTCCCTCAACTTTAAAAATAGATAACTACTTCGAAGATATTTCAGATAGTACTTTAGATCTATGGTTTTCCTAAAATGGCTGGAACTTATTTTAGTTGGTTGTTGGAGTTGTTTGAGTATTATTGTATTATTTTCTTAGTATCGTATTAATGCATATGTTTGATTAACATTTAGTCGTTTCCATGATTAGTTTTATTTTGTTTTTCAAACAGTTGTAAATGATTTTTTTTACAAAATATATATAGGTCACAAAAAGAGTTGACCCATATACAGAGCTTAAGTCTAATGGGATTTATTCGCGTATTCACGTAAGTGTCATAAATGCTGAAGAGAAATCTGAATTGTAATTGTGGAATATGAGTTCAGATTTGTGATGAGATGTTTTTGCGATGT